TAACTTTTTTGGGATTTTCTCAATTTTCTAGACCTTATTAATTTGTCACCAACTTATTGCACATATAATCTCAATACGGCAACATCATTACCAATATGATCCCCTTCATCGCTCATTAAACCATATTTTTTAAAAGTCTGTAGACATAATCGAGACTCACCACATTCTCATTAATAAAGTTTTTATTTCTGTAATAAGATTTTCCATTCTTTACCAACACGTCTTAGTCATTAATGGCATTCACAATGAATTTGATAGTCATTGGCGCAACATTTAATCTAAAATCAAGTTTTTTAACAATTTATTTTGTTGTAAAATACCACACAACGGACGGCCTATTCCTAAATTTTTAAATGGAGATAAACCTTTAATAGATTCATGATTGTTAGTTTATTTCCATTTTTTCTCTATTCTCTCAACTTACCAACGCACATATCTTTATCTCTTGTATATTTCTTAATGAAATTGTTAATTTCTCTCTAATGCAAAATAGGTAGCAGCCGTTAAAGGTTACTTAAGTAACCATTTACGTTTGACATAATCCTGAATTTCATATTCCGCCTTTTTGGTATCTTGTATCAAGCAACTTTATTAAACAGTCATTCGGTTTCGTCCCAGTTTTCCATTTCCTTTTGAATGTTTATTCAATTTTATTAACTTCATCTTCGTTTAAAAAAATGAAGCTAACAAACATTCCGTATTAGCTAGCCTGAAACTTAGCCTGATTAAGAAATAAAAATTCTCCTAATAACTTAATGAAACTCATTTCGAGACTCATTAACTCCAAATGTTAAAAAATCTATAAAAATAACTTTGTGGCGTTTTTCAATATTATAAACCTCGAAAGTCACAGTCGCGAATTCTATACATTAATGAACCTTTCCTTCAAAAGTCACTACCTTTGAAGAGTTTAATCATTTATTTTGTTTATCAGACAAAATCTTTTTATTTAAAGTTGTCTTTGAACATCCCGCGTTTATAGCTATCACCACCTTTGTTGCCAACAGACCATTACCTTTCAAACGAATAATTCTGCTAATTCCACTGTTGTTTAAAACCAAGGTTATGCAGATTTTTTGCTTCTGCACTTGTTTTCCTGCATCTTTAGGTATCTCAAATCCACATGTCCATTGTCACCATATTTGAAAAACTGTTTGGAGATTACCTTTCGCAATGTGGTTGCACCAGATTGCATATTATTGTTTGTGCTCTTTTTTAGCGTATAAACAATTTTTCGAAATGTTGTGAAACCCTCTAAAATTAAAATACTAAATAAATTTTTATCTTTTTTGAATTTTCTAATAATTTAGCGAGATACACCAATCATTTCAAATCAGCTAAAAGTACATCAGCTTTTTTTTATAATTCATAAGTCATATAATTTTAGTTTCGTAAAAAGCTCATTGCACTGTAAGCATCCACAAAAAAAGCTGTCAGCACTTGCCTGACTTTATTTGCGTCAACAGGTTATACTTTTTAAGCCGAATAAGCATTTTTTTGAGAACCGAAAAAAATAATTCTAGCTTTTTGTTCTGTATTTCAGCTATCATTTTTGTTCTTTGCACCCGCTAATATGCATCTGAAGTTCCATCATATATTAACTAATTTTATACTTGATACAATGCCGTGTGGCTTGTAATTTTCTTGCATAAAAACAACTAAAAATAAGAAGTTTTACTTTTCTTACCCCAATGAAAACCTGTTTTTTACAAATTCTACTACAAATTATTTAATATAAGTTTATAAAAGTCAAAAAATAACTATTGAAATAAATAATAAAACTTGGGTAAATATGTTATAGTTAAACCTAGGCGACAAAAAATATTTTAGAAACTTTTTTGAAAGAACCTTTTACAATATTTTAATTAAAGATCTTATAAATATATTTCTTTTCCCTACCTCAATTTTAAACAAAAAGGTATTTTTTTCAATAAGTTATAGAGTTATAAAATAATAGTTTTGGCATGATAAAAAAATAATAGTTTTGGCATGCTATAAATAAGGTCATTTAAACTTTAAAATAATCTGTTTAAATTTGATTTATAACCATGTTATTCACATAAAATATCGAGAAAAAAAAATCATAAAAACAATGAACGTTCATTATAAATATATTTTCTGACATGCCCCTTGTTTTTAATGTTTAATATAAGTTACAAAAACAAATATATTGGAAAGTAAGGCAAGTTAAAACTATTACCTCGATGAGCAAAAAAAAGAAATATGTTTTTAAGTATTTCGTACAACTTTAAATATTTTAATTTTATGCAAATTCTCAACAGCGGATTACACTTTAAAAGAAGCTATTAAGGATAAGGTTTGTTAAAAAACTTGGAATATTTGGTTAAGAGCTTCTTATAATAAAAAATTTTATTTTTTGATTTTTTATTGTCCTATAAAAACTGCGTATTTCACAGATTTGTCTTTAAGTACATTGAGTAGTCAAATTTCTTCTGTGTTACGTGTGTTTATTTTTGAGTATCAATCTGTTAAAGAACTTTTTTAAATAAAATTTCTTTTCGTATACATTGAAGTTAACTATTACTATTTTCTTTACCGACTAAAAAAAAATTCTAGATTTGTGTAAAAGTTTACTGAATTCTTTAAAAGGTTACCTAATTTTTCAGATTTTATATGTAAGAGTTACCACTTGCACAAACCTTACAAAATTTTGCACATTCATTCTGACTCAAAACATCGCTCTAAGTGATCAGGCAATACAGCAACTATTTTGATAAAATTAAGACAGATGTCTTCGAGCCGTTTAAAGACTTGACTAAAGTATGGTACTTGTTGCTTATTGTTGCAATATATTTCGTTATGATTGACAGTTTTAAGAAATAATAAGAGCTTAAGATATCACAAAACACAGGCAAAATAAAATGAAAAAGACTAAGGCAAGATAAGTTGTTTATATAATATTATATAATATTATATAATAATATTTATATTATATAACCAAGAAATTTTGTATGATGTTAGGCAGTTGATAGCCAAAATTCCATTTTTGCAAAACTTCTTGTAAAAATGCCCCTAATTTAGCAGAATTAAGGATGTGAGATTACTAAATGTCGTTTAAGAATTCAACAAATTATAAGAGATAGGGTTAGTGTTATGTGACAACCCTATGTGACATTGAATTCTACCGCAAAAAATTTTTTATAATTAGAAAGGATATGCATTAATCCTCCTAATTGCTATATGATCAAGTTTTAAAATTGATGAACATTATTTATAATTTTTCATTGAAGTTTAATTATTATTATCAGAGTAAACAACTTTTGTTATATTTAATGATAGGCAAAAAACTTTTTTTTAGTAAAAAGTAGTAAATTTTGAAAAGTACATAATAATCCAAACAAACTATACTTTTAAACTATGATCCCTTATGCTACCTAAATTTTTGAATTAAAGCGTCATTATCGGGACGCGGTTAATATTTTATTGTTAAACTAATGTTAAAAATAAACTTTTAAATGTAAAGGAACAATAATATAACAAACTTTTTTCTTACTACTTTCTTATTGACATAATTCTGTCGCCAAATTCATATGTTTACCATGATAGTAGTAGTATTATTATTATTATTATTATTATTATTAGTAGTAGTAGTAGTAGTAGTAGTAGTAGTAGTAGTAGTAGTAGTAGTAGTAGTAGTAGTAGTAATAGTAGTAGTAGTAGTAGTAGTAGTAGTAGTAGTAATAGTAATTATTAGTAGAAAAATGCTGCAACAGGTTTCCCTGCATAATCTACAGGTTATGGCAGCCTTATCTACTTCATACTCAAATTTTATTTATATCAATATATAAAAATTTACATAGACATATAGTAGAAGTATAATTTTGTACTTTATTTTTCTTTTTTTTTTAAGTTATAATCTCGATACTTATGCAGATTACCTGGAATTTCTGTATTGAGCTGAGCCTTAAAACTGTTTGCAGATGAAGCGCATTCAACTTCTGATGGCAATGCATTCCAAATGTTTCACTATTTGATTTGTAAAAACCTGATGCCTTTGATTGCAATTTTGAACAAATCCTCTAGTCATTTTTAGATGATGCTCTCTAGTTTCTATTTTGACAACCCAACACAAAAGATATGGGCTTCACTGCATGAGACAATGTCTATATTATTAATAATTTTATACACCTGTAAAAAATCTCCTCTAATGCGATGGGTTTCTAAGGAAGTTAAGTTCAGTATACTCAGACAATCTTTGTATGACATACAAAGTATGTCGGTATGACAGTACAAAGGTATTAAACAGTTAGCTCTTCTTTGTACTTATTCGATTTTATCAATATCTATTCGCGATGATGAATTGCTGGCTGCTATCGCGAATTCCAGATGAGGTTGTACAAAGGCTGTGTATAGAATTTTAGTTGTGGAGTCATGTGGTTAAAAGTACGATACAACATGCCTAATACATGGCTATAAGACAACATCTGATTCATTTGATATGTTTAGCCCTCGGTATTAGGAAAAAAAGGGGTTACCATTTAACATAGAATCAAGTAAATGTATACATTTCAGTCATTTGGAAAATAAACAACCCATCAGATCTTTTTTTGCCATAGCAAATATCGATGACTGTGTTTTTTTATTTGAAGTAAAACATTTTGTTTATTAGTTTTGCTTAATTACTGAATAAACCTGCATAATCAATATTATTAATCAAGATTATGCAAAATAATCAATAAAAATAGTATATTTTATGCAAAATAATCAATAAAAATAGTATTATATCATTAAATTATTTTTATTGATTATTTTTTAAAAAAACTTTTTTTTTTAAATAAAAGATTGATCAAAGATCATTCTTTTCAACAACTTTTCATCAGTTTTCGTTTTTTCTTTCTTTAATCTAATGATACTACATACCAACTATTTATTATTTAAAATAACGAATAGCTGGTAGATACTACATACTAACTATTTATTCTTTAGTCACTATAATAAAAAGAAAAGAAAAAAAGTTTTGTGTTAAAAAAGAATCTTACCATTAACTGTAAGTATTTGCACATCACTATCCCCATCTCCAATGATATTTTTTGGTTTACATATATACCGTCCTTGATAATAATTTTTTACTGGATTGAAAACATAGACATTGTTTGTTGTGTTTTGAATTAATGTGTTTTCAAAATAAAACTGGTAAAAAATAAGTGAAGGAAATGCAAATGTTGTGCAAGTTAATTTATTTATATCATTTTCAAAAGATGTGCCAAACTGCAACTGTAGAACTGTATTTATAGGTTTATCTTAAAAAAAATTAGAAAAACGTTATTCAAATTTTATACTTAATAGTTTGTAATTGCCAGGGTTGGAGTCAAATACACTGTTATTGCCAGGGTTGGGGTCAAATACACTGTTATTGCCAGGGTTGGGGTCAAATACACTGTTACTGCCAGGGTTGGGGTCAAATACATATTAATATTTGGAAAAAATAGGCTAGTTTTGCATATTTGCATTAGTATTATATTTGATTATAAAATTTCTTGATTATTTGTATTTATACTTGATTTTGAATGAAATGTATTGGCGATTCCATAAACTAGGATAACTGATGTTATTTTGATGGATATTTGTTAGAAGACTTGCTATCACTCATCTATTTAGTAAACCATTTTATCAATCTCGCCTTGAAAAAATTCTTATATTTTTTCTTAACCTAAAGTACAAATACTTGCATTTCTATTTGCATTTGAAAAATGCCAATTGCATATATTTGTATTTAGAAATCTAGAATTACCGTATTTGCATTTGACCCCAACCCTAGTTAAAAGCTATATTAAAAATTTTTCTTTAAATACTTTACAATAGCTAAGAAGAATTAACTAAGAGAATTTTGATGTACCAGTTAGTTAAAATAATATAAAAATACTGCAACAGAAAATGTTTCGTATAACAATTAGAGGTGTACCGGATATTTTTGCCAGATATGCCGGATAGTGAACTTTTTTAGGGTTCTATAAGTGTTTATAAAGAAAAAAATTTTTTTTGCTAGTCTACAATAAATTGTGTTGAAGATCTTACTTAAAAAAATTAGTGAAAAACTGTATGACATGGTATATGTACTGACGAAGTATAGAAAATAGTAACTAAAAAAAACTAAAATTTGGCTATAAAAAACGATTTTTTTAATACATTATTAACGCATATACCTGTGTTATACCAGTTTTTTATTGATTTTGTTTTTTTAAATCTTGAACACTATTTAATGTAGAATGGCAAAACTTGTTTTTACTTCATAAACACTTATAGAACTTGAGAAAAGTTCAATATCCGGCATATCCGGCAAAAATATCAGTTACACCTCTAATATGTGAAATCATATCTGTGAAAACAATATGTGAAATCATATATCTGTTGTATAAATTAACAATATAAATCCTTATTAAAACAGTATAAATCCTTATTAAAATCAAAGTTTTATAGATAGTTTTATATTCCTAAATATTAAAGTAAAGAAACTAACTTCTTTTAACAACTTTTTATCACAATCACTCTGCTTCTGGTATTATGTGACCCAGTGCTACCTGGGTTACATAACACCAGCTACGCTTTTTTTAGAAATTCATTTCTAAACGTGCAGTCGTTTAAAATTGCCGAGTAAATTAAAGATTTTCCGTTCTGCAAAGTCACTTCTCCAGATTTATCAACAAATGTTCCAATATTAACATAAAATTTCCAACATCAATTTAATTTTACAGCAACACACTAAAGCTAAACTAAGTTTACTTGACAAAAGAGCAAAAGATATAATTGGTAGCCATCACAATCTTAAAGAAATTAAGAAAATCAACAAAAGAGACTCATGTTCATTTGTAAAAAAAGTGTTTAAATAATGAACTTTATGAAAATTTTACTAATCACTACCAAACCATTAAACATAAGAAATGTACCAGAAAAGGAATATTGTTGAGACTTCCGAAAATAAAACTTGTGTTTGGTCATGTGCGGTCGTTTAAAATAAAACTTGACAAAAAACTTATTTTACTTTGCAGAAGCAAACTTTTTAACGAGTTTTTAATCTTCGGACATTAGAAATATGGCAGAACTAACATTATTTAAAAAAAAAAGTAAACTTTTTTTCAAGCAGCATTCGAATACACTTTACTAATTTTATTACTTTTTATACTTTGTTATTTTCAGAAAATTATAATTTCTGTTTTAAGTTTTAGTTTTTAAACAGGACACATGTTGATAACAGTTTTTATAAGTGAAAGTGTCCTGTATAACCATTTTAATAACTTTAATAATAGAGATAGTGTCTCTATAAAAATATCCATCTTGGACAGATGTTAACTGCATACAGCTACTGTCTTGTAGAAGGCCTCCTAGGAAAAAACTTTAGGGGTGAGTAGAATAATTCTATTAACCAGCCTCGAATCCCTTTATCAATTAGGCTGGCATAGTTGTAAACCTGTGTTACATTGTTTCCTGTCTAATTTCTTTCCTTTTTCTACAAATATTATTATGGACGCTGTTTAAGGAAGC